TGAAAAGCAAACCCATAGAGTAGGAAGAAATTTAGTCAACCGACCCTCAGACAAACAACTTAAATCTACAACATATAAAATGTTGAAAAAAATCAGTCTCCCCAAAATTCAAAGACCCAGTCCAAAGATGGGCATCTGAGAGGAATACACAGTTCTCAGATGAAGAAATACAAATGACAAATAAACATATGACAAAATGTTCAACATCATCGGTCATTCAAGAGATGCAAATTAAAACAGCACTGAAATTCCACCTCAACCTGGAAAGAATGGCTATTATCAAGAAATTAACCAATAACAAATGCTGGAGGGGATCTGGGGAAAAAGGAATCCTCCACTCTCGGTAGGAGTGTGCAATCAGTGTACAGATTCCTTAAAAACTAGGATTAGAGGTCCTATTCAACCTGGCTATTTCCTTTCCCTTAAAAACATCACACCACCGCTATATATGAGCACCCATGTATATAGCAGCACAATTTGTAACAGATAAATCTTGGACACAACTCAAATGCCCATCAACTGAGGAATGGATAAAAAAGATGTGATTTTTTTATATATATATAATAGAATAGTATTCAGTGAAAGGATCTTGCCCTAGATAGGACACTACAGCAGTGAGAGGCTGGGACCAAGGGACGTTTACCTTGAGGTCATTTTCTCCACCCCTAGGCAATTGACCTGTGGCGCGAAAAGAAATCCAGTATCAGGCTGCTTGTGTATCAGCAATGCCCCATTTAGGTACCACCCCATAACACGTGTCCAGCAGAGAAAGCCAAGCCCCGGCGGTCATGGAGTTTCTCTCCACATCCTTAGAATAAAGGCCATTTTTACTTTATATTCTCTCTCTTTAATCACACCGAAAATACTGTCACTCAGCCATAAAGAAAAAGAGACTTTTATAGGTAAATGGACACAATTCAAGACCATATTATAAGTGAAATAAATCAGACCCACATGTATAAACATCATACTGTCTTTGTATAAGAAACTGAAGCAGTAAATAAGATTCAAAATGTACAACAGATATTGTGAAATGGGAAAAACTATTCAAAAGGAAAGAGGGAAAGGGATGGAAAGGAAAAAAGAAGGGAAAAGGAAAAATTACATACACTCACGACAGTGTTTTTTAAGATAATTATATCACTAATTTCTATTAGTTCATTGAAAAGAAAGGTTTGTGTCTATGTTGCTTGATCAAGTTTTCAAGCCTATATCTTGTAGTTTGAAGATAACAATACACAATGTATTAACCATTGCTATTGTCCTATCCTGTTTTGAAATTTTGTATTATTGTTTTTCTTGTTTTTCTCTTTAAAATAAAACTAAATAAATAAATGAGTAGTTACACAAAATTCTGTCTGCAGTCCCATCCAGAAGTAACATTAAGTCAAGTTCTATAACAACAACTGCTGACACCTGTTGAGCCCTGGCCCTCCACAAGCCAGACACGGGGCTCAGTGCTTTCCACGAACACTCAGAATATACCTAAACACACACTACCTGAGACACTTTTCAATAAATACCCCTACCAGACAAGAGATGCAAATGAAACATAGACTCCTGATTTTAAAAGAAAAAAATTCTCTAGAATAAAAGAAAAATGGAAATACAAGGTTCTAAAAAAGATGACTTTTTTGTTAGATTAGATGCCTATCACTGCTGAGAAAAGTCATCATTAAACAAAAACCAGAGATCATCCAAATAATCTATGTGTCACCAAGAACAGTCTCCTGCTAGACCACGAAGGATACAGTGCCGGGGCTCCGGGCAAAACGGAGCGATCTTGCTATAGTTAAAGAGCTACAGATATACCAGGGGAGCTCCAGGAAACCTAGAAGTCCAAGGATCCTAGTCTGCGAGCATGTGATGTGGGTGGGCCCAGCACACCATCCTGTAACCTGTCTCCCTCGAGCCAGGCATGGCGGCTCACATCTACAATCCCAGTACTCAGGAGGCTGAGAAGGAGGACTGCTGTGCGTTTGAGGTCAGGCTGGGCTACACAGCAAGCTGAAGGCCCCGTGAACCACACAGTGAGGCCTGTCTCAAAAAGAAAAAAGAAAAGCAGCACCGTCCTCACTCAACATGGGATTCTTAGGGACAGAGACCTTCACTTATTTTTCGGTCTACACTTAGGACAAAACATAGTTTTGAACTTGGAACACAGGAACATTGAAAAACCTTTAATGAGAAATATTAGGAAGCAATCTCCTCTGGAAATCAGTCGTCCATTTACCAGGGTATGAGCATAAAACTGCATTGTGGTCTGGAGACCTCTAGTGGCCCTCTGCAGTTCACTAGAAGTCTGAAAACCTAGAGGCTATACAGATCAAGGCCCACATCAGAAAGACGGGCAATGCCGTGGCAGAAAATAAAGTGAAAGTTCATCTCAAAGTCTGAATTAAAATATAAAATTTTAATTAACTTACCTGAATGTGATACCTACAAAAAGTTTCATTTAATAATTTCATTTAAAAGTAACATAAATATAATGATGGACATTTAAAGCATTGTTAATTGAAGACTATGATAATAAAAAGTACACTTTGAGAAACTAAAGAAAAAAACTCCTTTATAAAACTTAACACATGGAAGACAGGGAGCAAACATTCCCTCTGTGACAGGTTCACTGGAACCTCTCAAAGATAGTCAACTCTACAGTCATGTGTAGGCCATCTGAAATCTCACAGAAACTCTGAGTATCATTTTGGTAGGATGCTGATTTTGCTCCAGAAGACCCACTTTTTCAAAACTATATTGGGAGCCCTGTATTTAAATAAAATAATATTTAGTCTCAGTAAGGTACAGAACTGGTCCCTGGAACTGCCATGCTGGGATTCCCACCACAGTTCAGCATTTACTAACTGAGCAAGTTACAACTCTAGGCACTTCTTTTCTTTCTTTATAAAGTAAGTATCTCTGCCTCAGAGCTGTTAAAAGCAAATGTATTGTACAGTACACCCAAAGAAGAGAGCACAGAGGGTTGTCAGTAGTAAAGAATCAATAAATGTTACTGCAATTAATGTGCTAAAAATTACCTAGCATGATGTGAGTAAGCCAAAAAAAAAAGACCCGATGTCCTTAACAAGAATAAGAAGCAGTATTTATTTTAGAAGCTTACATGACTCTATACTGCTCTTAAATACAATTTTTCTGTTTATTAACTGAAAGGCTATCATGCTCAATTCAGATTATGAACAGTTTAAATCTCTTTTAAAAAGTAGTTATCACTAAAGAAATCATTAAACTCTAATTCCTGTTCATCTAACAAGAAGCAGAGAACAGAGGGATTTTTTTCATTATAAAAAGTTACAATTTTACAGACCCAAATACAGTTGTGCACATTCTTGTAGGTATAGACCAAAGGTTCCACCAAGAAAATCCCTTGTATGGAAGGGTATCATTTTTAATGTTATATTTGAAGCTATTTAAAAACATACAAAACCTAGGAAAGTGTTGAAGCTGTTTGGCCAACTTCACGGTATAAAAGGGAAAGCTGACACTAAATAAGAGAATAAACTACAAAAACTGGAAGATGAAAATTTAGACACAAAAAAGAAAAATGTGCTTCATTATGTGCCAAAGAGAACATAAAACTTCATTTCCTTCACATTCTCTCTCCTTATTCTCAAATTTAGGAGGGAGATCATTCACTCAAATATCTACAAAACCAATAAGATCACTGAGCACACTGTTTACACAAGCAACTCTTTGCTTCTAAGCAAAACTCAGTCCCACAGAGAGGAAATACGTAACCACGGCTTTCAGTAAACAGGATCAATCAACGTTAAGAATCCCAAGAGGACTGTCTCAGCGCACGCACAGTAGTTACAGTGCTGAGGTGCACTTCTTTTGGTCTGAAAAAGATGAACTGTCTAGGTCATCAACTGAATCAATGTTTTGCTACTGACTCCTTTTGTAGCCAGACCACTGGGAGATAATGGTTTAAACTAGATTGAGACTTACACCCAGAACACACTCACAATCTATAACTCTATTTCCCTTGTCACTGCTCTTTCACCAACCACATGAAGTTCTCAGCAGAAGTTGCACATTTACCAATACACTCCGGATGTCAACATTATAAATGATTAGGCAGAAAAATTAGAGGAACTTCAAAAAGACAAGAAGCCTGGATCACCTTTTAGCATTTCTCTACACATAGTATCATAGGCAATTTACTGAGCTTTCAATACTTGACTGGCATATGTGTGAGTAATAAACACATTATGTTTCTTGTTTAGCAAGATTGTGACAAGGCATAATTTGAGAACACATAAAAAATACTACCTGAAGTTTCCAGGCATCAGTGCCATAGCATGACATATGACAGGAGACACAGCCAGGCATGAGCACCTCGGGAGAGCATTCCCTGCAAGCACGGCTGTAGTCTGAGCTAAGAGCCCCTTGGGAAGGGGCATTTTACAGCTCTTCATAGAAATGGGAACACAGTCCTCAGCTGTGGCTTTGTGCCTAGGCTTTATATCTGTGCCAGTTCTTAAAACTCAAACCAAAAATTATGAAATTGACATTTTAGATCTACAATTTTTACACAAATCAGAACACCAACTAAGGGAAAATTGCAACGAAGACCCTGTTAAAATTTTATACCAAAGTATGACTCATAATGCTTCATTCCAAAGTAACAAAATGCATTTTCCCAAAAGATATACAAAAACAGGTGTAGTTTTCTTTTCTTGTTTTTTTTTTTAAGGGCTTTCTCTCAAATTTTAAAACTCACAGTATAGCCTTTCCATCTCAGACTTTTTAAAAATCATTTTCCTTCTTTAGGGAAAACTATGGTGAGAAAACTCGGTAAAATTTCTGCAAATAATACACAAAAAGATGAGGAAAACAAAATGCCAGCTTCCAGCCAAAAAGACCTGCAAGGAAAAAAATGAGTATTTTCAAAAGCATTTTGGAACCTTATTTCCAGCTACCTCTGTGCTAAGCTCTCTTTTTTCCTCCCAAAATACGTCACTTAACTGTCTGTCAGAACCACTCTTGCCCATGCTACCTGATCACACTCGCAAGCTGCAGCTGTGCCTGGATTCACTTCTCAGTGACAAGCTGCTCAGAGAGCACCTATTGCCGAGCACGATCATCTGCTGCTCTCTTCTCTCCTCCTTTCAGGGTGTACTGCTGTCCATCAGGAGACATAATTAATGGGTTTATCATGTATGAAAGCATCATGGCATCAGTTTTTGCTCTCTGATCTGAACAGCTCCTATCAGCTCTTCTTTCATGCCAAGTGCACTCCCTGTCCAGAGATACGATGCAGCCGCACTTCCTTTTGGATTTTTCCCTCCCTGTTCAAACACCAGTGCACTAGAACTATGTGTCACCGGAGCACAAGGAGGACAAAAGAAATCCCTTCGCCTTCTGCAGAAAGGAAACTCATGGACTGAAAAGTTGGTAAAGAGACAACCAAGGGAATCAAGAGGGTGCACAAGAACATCTATGCTTGTGGTTCAGGTAAGAATTTTAAAGCAGCATAATTTGGGAGCATGTGTTATTCTGAAATATGGACAAGCATAACTTTTCCAGAGGGTAAAACATCTATAGAAACAACCAGGATTTCTCTTTGCTGAAACATTCAATGAATTTTTAATAAGTTCTAAATACTGTGGTCAGATCAACTGCTGTTATCCGATAAAGGAAAATTCAGCCCTCGATTTCTATAATCCTATCCAAATGGAGTCTTCATCTGTCACGTGTTGTCCTAGCTAATGCTATGGGGTTATCAGGACTAGAGACAGACACCCTGCAAGAAATGAGATGCACTGGTAGAAGCGAACACCAAAGGAGACTAGAGGAGGCATTTCAGGGATCGAAGCTGCCCGTTTCCAGCCAGAGTTCAACTTACTGAGCTTCAAAGCAGCCACTGCCAGGTAAGATTTAATTTTGCAACACTAATTTATGACCTGACTACTGAAATTAAATCTGCTGTTGCTATGAATGAGCCAGAAGATGTGAATTTCATGTGTTTCTTCCTTAAACTGTATGAAGATTTAAGTCTTCTGAAGTAAATACTTATTTCTATTGCATAAACAAATCACTCATGAGTGAGATATAAAGCATCCCAAAACCCTATTCAGCTTGCACTGCATTAATCCCATCATCATCTTCATGTTTTTAAATCCCAATCCAAAAAAATGCAGGGAGACAGACATGGTGCCTGAGAGCGCCACTCACAGATGCTTTTTAGCAAGTATTCAAAAGAACTTCGTTTCCCAGGGCACTTGATAAAACAAAGGAAAATTAATGAGCACTTTTAACATGATGGTTAATGTAAAAGAACCAAGTTCAAGGGCTGATTTTTATTTTTAGAGGAAAAAAAAGCCATGATGTCACTCTCATTCACACTTAGGGGAAAAGTCTCTAGTAAACTAACACTACCAGCACTAATTTACCCTCAAGATACTGGGCTTATTTTTTAACATAAAATAACGATCCTTTTCTGATTTAACAACACAACGAGAGGTATGTGGTATATTAGACCTCAAAAGTTCTGATACAGATCAATAGCTCAAACTGTACAATGAAAGAACTAGGGAAAACATCAAACGATTTTAAAGGATACAGTGCCTTTTAGAAATTCCCTAGAAATCACTTCATAGTGTGCCTTCCTGAGAGAAAGTCACATAAGAAAAGGCGGGGAGGAGATAAGACAAAAAAGAAAGAAGATGGGGGGGAAAGGGTGGAGGGCCAGACCTCCTTTACCCAGTGGTCTTAATTCCCTACATAAAATGCAATAATTTATAAAAGTTGAAAAAGTGAGGTTCGTATTATAGTGTTCATAAAGAAGCCAACAATAAATAATCACGTTTCCATTATCTTAGAAAGAAGAAAACAAAGAGTCACACCTAATTACAGAGATCTTCCATACAAGGAAAATTATCAAGATTATTTCAAGTTGTCCTAAAAAGTCATATTTCTGATTCTTTTCTTCCATTTCACTGAATGCTTTCCTTTTTTCAAATTTTAGTTAAAACAATGAAATACAGGATCCCTTCACTCTTTTCAAGGCAGTCTATAAGTAACCTTAAATACCATAAACCCTTTGCCTCAGAAGTCATTACAGAAATTCACCTGTCATTCTCTACTACAACAAGAAAGCAGTAATTTAAGTACAAATAGTGGCTACATATTACACCAATTTGTTTCAGAGAAAAAAGAAATTTAGAGATTTCAAAGGTATTTCATTTATGTACCAACCATAACTGTTAATTTCTCTTACCTCTGAGACTTATTTGAACCTTTAACAGTTCTTTCATGTGTTCCTCCTTATTGTGATGTTTTAGCCATATACGTATTCTAAAAATATGCATATAATCAAAGCAAAAATTACCAACTGATATCTCAAATCATAATTAGAGATATTTTATTCAACTTCAGCCAAAAGGAGATGTACAACATTGTGTTCCAGTTGGTTCTAGTAACCAGAATTAAAGGGAACATCGTATAGCACTGCTGCAGTCCTCTGGCTGTTACTGCCCCGTCTGTAAACAGAGTCCTGCTGCACTCCCTGAGGCCTCTGCTTCCCCAGCTCCTCCAGTGACAACCAAAGGGACACCATCCCACCCCACCTGAGACCTGCTGCTTCAGCCTTCCTTTTCTTTCCTGTCAAAATTAAGCCTTTTCTCTACTAATAATCCATTCTGAAAAATGACTATTACTGTTTCAACAACAGTTTTCAAAAAATATCTCAGAGTAATTTGGAATAATCTACATGTTCTTCATTTTGGTGAAAAAAGAAACACAGTAGCTAGCAGTTAACACATTATTTATCAATGTGCTAAAAAGCTGAAAATTCCTTTCACTTCAGCAACTTGTGGGTAAACTGAGAGAGCATTTTATGCCAGGATCTAAAGATATGGTTTACTTACGGTAGTTCCCCCCCCCCGCATCTGTTGATTTAATAAGACTCTGAAAGTTCTTGGGAAACCTTTCAATGATTAATTATTTCTATGATTTAGAATGGATTCTCATATATCATATGAAAGTATTATACTATAAAAGTAATATGATTATGCATTGATTTCCTTCATAGCAATGTTTTGGTAACTATATCCTTCTAATGAAATTATTACCACATACCCTTAAATTTTGGTCACTTGAAATCATCCAAAAACGTTAAATTTTTTATTTAAACTATAAGAAAATAAAAATAGATACATAGGTCAACATAGAGCATGTCCACTTAGCATCTTTGTTGACAAAGCAATCTTTAAAAAGTCATTCCATCTGAAATAAGCATTAAAATTTTAGAATTAGAGAATTCTACCTAAAATTCATTCTTGTGTATTAACAATGTATTTAAAACATGTAGTGTCAGTCACCTTAAGTGGGTATTTATTTACATTTATGTAGTCACAACTTTCAAATATTTAAATTTTTTGAAAGAATTTTTCATTCCAGTATAGTGATAAAGTGCTTTAAGCCTAATTCAACAGGATATTTTACATAGCCAGTATAACTGTTGCTTATTATGGTTAATTTTCTTTATTAAGTGACCAAATTTGAATAAGGACATAGTTCTCATCGTGAAGATTCACCTCTCCGGTTTCTCCCTGCTGGGAGAGAATCACCTTTGGTTGTGACATCACAGTGTGTGTCTGGGAAAGGGGCTCTGGTATCAAACAGATGACAGCATCCTGGCTGCAGGGAACTGGCTGCAGAGGAGGCGTGAGCACTATCGTTTCACCCAGAGCCCAGCACAGACACTGAGATGCATGACAGCAGCTGATTTAGTGAAGGATGCCCGTACTGCATTTGCCGCTTGTACAGTATCACCTTTTAAAGATAAAGGTATAAGCTCACAGTTCATTTCATTAATAATTTGAAAAAAAATAAACATGTTAAATTCCCAGATGAGGATAAAATGGAACTAAGAAAATATCACTCAGCAGACAATAACGGAACAGAAAGCTAGAGAACCAAAGAACAGGTACAAAATGCCACCTTGATTCAAATACAGTAAAAATGGTGACAGTAAGGAAATTGAGAAAAATGACAACTACACCCCAAATGGGAGTGACAATGTCTCTCAGCAAGAAAGAGACTCTCAAGTATAGATTACAAAGTGACTCCGTAACAGGATTAATTAGTATGTGACACATAAGCACTGTAATATGAGGGCTAGGAGGAAGCTGTTAACACTCTAAGGAATCATAAATTCATAAAAGAATATTAATTAGCAAAAGCATGCTCTGTAAATTTTCACAAAAATTTACAAAAAATACTTACTTAGTATTTAAGATTCAACAAAGGAAACAGAAATGAAAACTCCTCTTACAAACACATACACACATACTGATGATTTTTCCTTTTTATCATCTTCTTTCTATACCTTCTGTCTATAGACAAAGGACAAAGCAGATCCACCAATCCTTTTGGACACAGATGCAGTTTACCCTTACACTACTGCAATTACTCCAGTTCAAAATACCAGTCATCTATGACAGTCTTTTAGACCCAGAGCATATGTAAATATTATATATACAAAATACCACCACCACCAAACATAATTATAAGCCAAGCTGGAATTTCATTATCTATAGTTATACAATTTGCTTGAGATGATAGTATGTCGGATTGCTCAAAGCACTTATCCACTCCTATGTACTAGTTAATTATAACCACTGTATTACTTAGCAGTTGTTGAAAGACGTCAGCATCCTCCATTGTTCACATGGTGCTGGAAATACCAGCAAAATTACCCAAGAATCAGGGCCAATGAGAAAACACTTCGTATAGCTTTATCATGTAGTGTCACATTTCTGTCAAAGTATGTGAGTGTTCCTATTTAGTTATCATACAGAAATTCAGCAGGGCCGGGCAAGGTGGCAAACAACTATAATCCCAGCACTCGGGAGGCTGAGGCAAGAGGGTCATTGCAAGGACAAGACCAACCTGGGCTACACAGTGAGTTCAAGGCCGGTCCGAACTACACAGCAAGACCTTGCCTCAAAAAGACGGAATGAAGGGAGGAAGAAAAAAGGGAAGGAGGAGAAAAGGAAAGAAAGATACACCACAGACACACAGACAGACAGATATAGCAGGGAATATCGTCCTCTTCGAGAACCAAAACTGCTCAGCTTCCCCAATATAAATCAGTTTAGCTACCATAATATAAATCAAATAAAATATAAAGGTAAGTCAGAACTCATCTAGGGTGTATTAAATGAATATGAAAATGTATCCTAAAATACATTCTCAAGTACAATTCAACAGGCAAAAGAACACTGATCCTAGCATATACCTCAGTTTCACTTCAGTGGCTAATGGGCAAGTAGGTCAACCACAGGAAGGTCTCAAAGTGGGGGCCTGGAGCAGTCATACTGCACTAACAGCTGTTAGTGCACTAACAGACTGCCCCTGTTAAGGGCACTGTATTTTGAGTTGTGCAAACACAGGACAGCAAATTTATCCCTTATGTTTTTGCTGTAGTTGATATATGAAAATCTCATTTGCCGTGCCATGTCCAGTAGGATTCAAATTGGTCTTCCTATTAAAAAGTGATTACAGGAGAATTTGGATACTTTGCGAAAGAAATTGAGGAGCTTTCTAGTGAAAGATGAGAGTCGGGAAAGTGACACATTATTTCTCCCTGTCCCTTCTCCCCGCTAGAACCTTTGCCAGTATCTAAGTCAAATCTCCTTTTGAACTATAATGGGGGGGGGGGGGCAGGGGAAAGGGGGAAAATATATATATATATATATATATATATATATATATATATATATATACACACACACAAGATGTAAAGATACTGCTAGTTTCTTTTAGTTCATTGACAAGAAAAGTTTGTAGTAATACTGTTTGGATAATATCTCATGCCTACATCTTGTACTCTGACTAACTACTCTGAAGATAACAATACACAATG